CACACACACACACACACACACACACACACACAAACACACACGCCCTGACCAAGCACGAAGATTCAAATAGGTCATACAATTGCAGAAGATTAGAGGTGTTACACCCAAAGAAGAAGAAGAAGAAGAAAAAAGAAGAGAGATAAAGACCATCGATCTTTTGTAGGAAAGAAGGAGTAAACCACACCACAGCATCCACCAAACCCACCACGACCAGAAGTTTTTGCTAAACACTTTCTGTGGTATTGTGACGTGAAATGTTGTACTTTGGCTTTTTAATGATCACCGAAACCAAAAATGGAAAGGGCATGTATCTGACATAATTAATTAGGGTGCCTGTCCTACATTGACAGAGTGCAAGAGATTCTCACAGTTCCGATCCAGGGTCCAGTTTCATAGAGGGAAACTAAAACTATCTCTTTAAACTTATGACAGTGCTCAGTCATCCCTCTCTTTGCCCTTCATCTAGTTACAAATAAATTGCGCGCCCGTGCCCAGTCTTGGATATTGTAATACATGTACAAGTCTATGGAAAACCAAACAGCTTGGGAAGCTGCACGCAACCATAACGTTACCCTAGAATCACAAAGTTCTATCTGCTCAGTACCTAATTTTGAGAAATTTGACTTTTTAAAAATTCATAACATGTCAAAATTTTTCGAATGCAACAGGCTACTTTATTATTAAGCCCATCTTGATAACGACTCTGAATGATCTTACATTGCCTTACAATTTTGATAGATCAAGTAAAACATTTGGTTTCTGGGCTCATGGTCTTAGTAACTCAAATCTTCCGAAAGTTTCAGAATGAACTATGTAATTTTAAGGTAACGGTATAAGCTTATTATTAAGTGAAGGCTTTTTGTGTCGTGACGACAGCAGTATACATGATACAGCTTTCCCTGGGCTTTAGACATAGAGGAAGTAGAATACCCAAGTCCCACTACCCTCCCTTCTGACTTTGACTCCCTTGATATGCTCCAAAGGACAGACATTGTCAGTACGTCGGAAGTCAAGTGCAATGATTATAAATACCATGATAAAGCAATGGGGCGAAAAGCGTGCGAGCCCACAAAAATTTGCGGTCTCTGGTCAAGTGGTTGGGCTACCGGTCTTGTAATAGTTGGGTTGCGGGTTCGTGGGTTCGAGCCTCAGGCCCGACGTTGGTCCTTGGGAAAGGCCCTTTTAACACGAATTTTCCTAACTTCACTCAAGTAGGAATGGGTACCCGCCCAAAGACAACGAAAGATCTTGTCAGTTTGTTAGTGTTTTAGTGCCGAAAAATGGTAGCTTGCCCTGTATGCTTCCCATGACTCCCAGGTCTGCTGAGGTAACTATAAAGATTTAGAGTTTGCTGTTGAGTGGTAATTTACACTACATGTATGCACATGCTATCCATCTATTATTATATTTTCATTATTTATATTACGTTTGGAATCAGAGGAGTTGTAAGGATTTCTTTTACTATTTCTTTTCCGTCCCTCCTAGATCTCAGGAGTAGTCGGCTACTAGTACTTCAATAACTATTATGCAGACAAGCAGACAACTACCCGTATCACAGACACGAGCACCTCCCTTCAGTCGCTGTCTCCGGACATGGGACAAAACAGGGCAAGGTCATCCCAGAGGCTGACCAAAGCATGAAATAAAGTGTGTCAATGCCAATCAAACCTAGACACAAGTCGGAAATTTCCAAGTTTGAGTTGATATCATTGCACAATCCCCCCCCCCCCCAAACAACTATCATCTTTTCCTTATATTCAAAATGTAAAAAGTCAATCAGTCAGTACGTTGCAAAAATGTGAAAACTTGAGAACTTCAAGATGTGGAAACACGACAATGAGAAAACAAGCTCCCCAGTTAAGCAATATGTTATGTCAAGCCGCACAAACTTAACAAATAAATAAAAATCAAATAGAATAATATTGAGCAGTGTAGTAAACTTCAATATGAAAGAAACAAAAAGCATCAAAACTTCAAAAGACAGAAGAAAAAAAAAACTCCACAAAGGAAAAAAACAACCCCAAACCGGAAGTTGATCAATTTCTCTTCCGTTTCAGGCCTCTTAACTCGGAATAACCGAGTACGACATAGGTCTGATTATGACTGTCCGTCGGCGTTTTCGCAAGATAGCGAGTCAGCTGCTGTACTAATAAATTCTAGAATCTAGACCCCGAGCGTGAAGTGTTTCAACACGCATGAGGATGAGAGGGGGGCAGAAAGGACGGACATGCGTGGAGTGGCATAAACAGCTGAGATGGAGAGTGCGAAGAGGCTTTGGGAGAGAGAGAGAGAGAGAGAGAGAGAGAGAGAGAGAGAGAGAGAGAGAGAGAGAGTTTGTTTGTTTGTTTGTTTGTTTGTTTGTTTGAGTAAAAAGAAGTACATCGACACAATAATGGCCTTTTTTAGGGCTGGGGAAAAGTAAGACAGACAGACAGAAACGAAAGAGGGAAAGTAAAGAAGTACAACCTACCAGAGGCACCCTCCAACCACCCTCGAGATA